TAAATTAAAATGTTAAAATCAAATCTGATATTGTTTTACCTTTTATTTGGTGTGTGGAAGGTGTGTGGAAGAGGGGGTAGTCTTATACGGCGAGTATATAACAAACTGTATTTTGAGTGGAAATGTTAGGGGGTCGTCTTATACGCCCAGTCGTCTTATACGCCGGCAAATATGGTAAATGTCTCCATCTTTAGTATACTAAAGTGCTCCAAAAAGAGCTAAAGTTATAAAAATGTTTCCCAAACTTATTTGAGAAGGAACCCTTCTTTTTCCTAAGGCTGTGGCCGGCAAGCTGCGGCTCGCGAGCCACATGCGGCTCTTTGGCCCCTTGAGTGTGGCTCTTCCTAAGCCTTAGGAGTACCCTAATTAAGTTAATAACAATGTACCTACCTATATAGTTTAAGTAAAAAATTTGGCTCTAAAAAGAAATTTCAATCGTCGTACTGTTGATATTTGGCTCTGTTGGCGAATGAGTTTGCCGACCACTGTCCCAAGGGACCCATGTCCTGTGGAACCAACAGCTGGAAATGCTGATTTAAATACTGCCCGAGAGCCCGGCTGGCGTGGCTCAGTGGTTGAGTGTTGACCTATGTGCCAGGAGGTCAGGGTTCGATTCCCGGTCAGGGCACATGCCTGGATTGCAGGCTCAATCCCCAGTGCGGGGCGTGCAGGAGGCAGCCCATCAATGGTTCTCTCTCATCATTGATGTTTCTATCTCTCTCTCTCCTTCCTTCCTTTCTGAAATCAATTAAAATATATTAGAACAAATGAAATACCGTCCTCTATAGGCATGAGTCGTACAACAGATTGCTCCAGGTTGGGTGGCAGCCTTGCTAGCGGTGAGTCCCTGCCCTGCAGGAGAGCAATGGGCACACGGACCCCTTGGCAGGGATAGTGGGAGGCGGTTGGCATCGGCTGGGGGTGGAGGATGGACTGTGACCTCCACGACTGGAGGGACCTGTGACCCTCACTTAGGGTGCCGCGCCCGGAGCGCTGGTGAGGGATAGTGGGGTGTCCACTGGCCGAGCTGAGCCTCCTGACGTCCAGGACATTAGGCTGGTGGATTTGCTGGGAACAGATGGGCAGCTGGGGCCTTAGAGAAGTGAGGAGCTCAAGGCCACTTAGTGAGCGGGCGGCAGAGCGGGAATGGACCTGAGCTAAGGGCTCTGCCCAGGGGCCATCACTCACCGGAGAGCGTGAGTGGGTCCTGCAGCCTCACCAGAGCGATATCCTTCTCTTTGGGGGACGTGGCGTTGTGCTCGGTGACGAAGATCTTGGCCACGGGCAGGGCTGGGAAGCTGCCGAGTCTGTCTGAGCCGACCCTCACCTTCCAGCCGGGCACATCGAGATGTTTCCTGGGGCAGAGCCAAGCAGGAGGGGGCTTTGCCAATGGCTGGCCCCCAGGGCCCTGGGGGTGGGAGCTCCAGGTGCCTGCCTCAGCGGGAAGGATGGTGCTGGCAGGGGTGCTGGAGAGGGGCCGGTCTGAGGCATCTCTGACCACAGGCCAAGTCTAAAAGGGGATGGGATCCTTTTCCCAGGGAAACCCGCCCAAGCAAACTCCCCGCTGGAGGGCTGGGGAGGCTGCCTCCAGGCCGGAGCGTGGGGCCTTCCCCTGCTTCTCGTCACAGTCGCTCATGGTACCTGCACGTGGGCAGTAACTTATGTGCGCAGCTTTCTTCCTCTGACACCAGACACAGCTTAGGGATGGTTTCCCAGGAGAGGTTTACACCTTTTGTCAGATTCCTGAAATCAATTAAGAAATTGGCCTAGCTCTAGCCGGTTTGCTCAGTGGATAGAGCGTCGGACTGCACATGCCCAGGTTGCGGGCTCAATCCCCAGTGTGGGGTATGCAGGAGGCAGCCGATCCATGATTCTGTCTAATCATTGATGTTCTCTCTCTTTCTCTTCCTTCCTCTCTGGATCAGTAGTATATATAAAGAATCACTGGCCTCGACTGTGAATCCTCTAAGGCAGTAATGGGGTTAATGTCCACGGACACAGTAGATGGTTGGGTGCCTTGTAGGAACCCCTCAGATGCAGAATGAATGAATGAATGAAATAAAGGCCTGGGGGTGGGCCTTTGAATGAATGAATGAATGAATGAATGAAATAAAGGCCTGGGGATGGGCCTCCCCCTGAGGGGCAGGCAGGCCCGGGCTGGCCTGGGAGGAAGTCTATGCTTGTTGGCTTGTGGCTAAGTTTCTGAGCACAGCGAGGGAGCGGCGGGGCTCCGGGCCCCAGGACCCCAGGACCCCTTCCTGGAAGACCAGGGAAGAGGGAGAGGCGCTCGCTCCAGGCAGGTGCGAGGAGCCTTCATGGGGTGCATGACAGGGCGGCTAAGGACATGGGTTTCTGATGCTTCTCACCCGGAAGAGGTCAAACCCAGTGACCCCCACCCTCTGCTCAGACCGCGTTTAACAAAGAACCTGTGTCTGGCATCTCACGGGGTGGCCACACCCTAGGCCAGTGGTTCTCAACCTTCCTGATGCCGCGACCCTTTAACAGTTCCTCATGTTGTAGTGACCCCCAATTTTCATTGCTACAAATTGAACATAATTAAAGCATAGTGATTAATCACAAAAACAATATGTAATTGCAGATGTGTTTTCCGATGGTCTTAGGCAACCCCTGTGAAAGATTCGTTCGACCCCTAAAGGGGTCGCGACCCACAGGTTGAGAACCGCTGCCCTAGGACACAGTGTTTAAGGGCAGAGGAAGGGGCCGGGCCTCAGGCCCTCGAGGCTCTGGCTCACACAGGCCTGCGGGCGCTGGGCTTACCTGAAGCAGTGGGCCGCCGTGAGGACCCAGTGCGGGTCCAGGATGCTCCCGCCGCAGACGTGCTGCTGGTGGTACTGGATGCTGACCTGCCACGGCCAGGACTCCACGGAGGCCTGCTGCCCGCCCACCACGCT